AATGGAAGGAAAATGGAAGCGGAACTGGGACGTCTATTTGTATTTAAACACAAGATAAACCCGTCTCTCTGATGTCAAAGTTAGCAATTGAAAAGTGCATTATGTCAAGTTAAACCATCAAAATAGACATAAATGGTATCGGGCCCAACGCAATGCGGTGTAATCGAATCCACCGCCGTCTGCGTTGTAATCATTTTTTTGGTCAATTCTTTTATAAACAGGCAATAACAATTTCCAAAATTTCCAAAATATGGCTTCTTTGTCATCCATACGATGTTTTATCCAAAATTAGACATAAGTGGCGTCAAACTGTACAGAAGTGTTCGGATAAATGGCAATGAATTACATGGTGTGCGTGTAATAAGTTGGAAGAGTACATATGTCGGCTCCAGACTCACTAGGGGTTTCCCGTAAAACATTAAAACAAAAAAAAATTCTGTTATAAATTTACCAACAACAGCAAACGGCCATATGTTATCCACCGTATCTGCGACGAATACTCCATCGTCGCTGGATTGATCCACCGTTTCTACGAAAGCTTTGGCCAGTGTGTATACTTTATAGAACGAACAATTAACATTTCTGCATGTTAGTCCTCGTTATTTTGTATAGTCATTTTGGCAATAATATCCTATACGTACGAGTATTTGTGTGACATTGATTGAAATGAAACTAAAAACTAACGCAAGGAAAAACAAAACAAACGGACAGACAAAACATTCAACACTATTTTCCAGTATCATAGTCCCGAACAGTTCTTTTGGAACGACTGGATAGCAGAATCCACTTAAGCATTACTAAATCGTGTCTTCATAGCCTAATATCTAGGTTTTTTATAAGCTCTTAGGGTTGTATTATATGTTATTCCTCAGATCGTTATAAAATCTGTTCAACTGTCCGTCCATGGCAATATCGTGCCTGAGTTTTTTTGTTGAAGCGTTTTCAAACTATTTTGGCAAATTGTTAATCTCTTTCAGCTTAAATTTCAAATGCTCAATAATTGCGAATAGTCGAACAGGTATTGAAGAAAACAAAATGCTAATTGCTTTACCTTTTTATGTTAAGCACTCTTAGAGTATTGAATTATGAAAAATAATTGTACATGTAGTTTTAAAATTCATGTGTTCCTATATTTAGCATCATTATTATGTTATTATTTGTTCTAACCACTTTGAAAATAAGCATGAATTTCACAAGGGGTGTTGTTGTTGTTTTTTTGTTGTTTTTTTTTTTTTTTTGCTTTTTTAACGGGGGGGGGGGTCATAATTTTTTTTTTTGTATGTTTTATCTGTTTTGTTGTTGCTGTTTCATTAAAGTTTATTTTCAAGAAAATGTATCACCAATATCTTGTTATCGTGGGAAAATGCTGCACGTACTTGGCAATCTAGATTCAGAATGTGTCTTTGTTTTAAAGCAACACGCCTCCAGATTCATGCTAACTTTTATGAAACTTTTGAAAATTTGTTCAAAAGTAGTATTTAGTGAAATAACCAAAAGGAAGCAATTTGCAAAAAAATTTCATTGGCACTTACAGCCCACGTAAATTATGTAAAAGAGGACAAAATATGCAAAAATTGCCCTTACTGCGTTAGTAACGCAGTAGAAATATAATTATAAATACTGAAAAATCAGTCATTAATCGCACATAACATGTAAATTATTACTTGAATTTTGAATATTTTTACTTTTCCTAAAATCTTAGTACATTTTTCTCAAATTTGTTTTTATTGAAATAATTTCGCTCTTCTGGAGGCATGCAGCTTTAAGTTAAAAAGTTCAAACCACATTCACAATCTCTAAGTTTGTTTGTATACATGTCTATCGCAAGAAATAAACATCATTAACTAATATGATGTAAGGATATATCAACGTTATTTAAATTTTAGATCACATGATTGCCACAGATTTTCTAGACAGCCTTCTTATGAAAGGTACATCCGGAAAACAAACCATATATCTTTTTAACAGAACACTAACATAAGCTGTGTACTTTCTTTACACTGCAATCAAAATGGCAAGTTTTGGAAATATATTTTAAAAATGTTACATTTTGCAGTGTTTTTGATATGTTAATGTTTATGATAATTAGAACAGTTCCCGTGGAGCCTGTTTGTTCAAACTTTTGATATGACGAACAATTACTAGAAAAATGGTTCGCATGGAATTCTTTCTGTAAAAACATACAGAAAGACAAGTTCGGTAAAACAGACATGAGACCATAGCAAACAAAAACATAGTATCTGAAAACATGCGTATGTGTACATTTTATGAAGAAAACAGTTTTCGTTTATGTATCATAACATGTATTTAAAGAGACTCATCTGAGTTTTCTAAATGATGGGACAAGAAATATTCTTTCGCGAGTTTTTATTTATAGGACCTGATCGATAACCTGTGTGCAAAATTTAAGAACATCCGCTTACCATATATGTCAAAACTAATAAATTCGAGTTTGAAATAATGCAAAATGACACAAAAATAACGGGCGTTTAAAGGTATTTGCCTCAAAGCGGGCTATAGGCTAAGAATCGTACAGAAAATGATTTTCAATTAAATTCGGAGACTACCATTATCTCTTTATCATAATTTGTAAATTTTGTCCGTTTATTTGCCTCATTTGATCTTTGTGAGAACTGGCTTTGGACCTCAGTGTAGACATTTTAGAAGGGTGTGATTAATCATTAACTGTCGAATGATAGTGAACAAAAAAAACGAGAAAAAAAATCTGTACAATCACGTTGATTTCAAGCTCCTATGGTCATATCTGGAGAGAATGTCCATGATATTTGATTCACATAGATTATATCAGAGTAAAGGTTTAATACAACTTTTTTGTACTTAAGCATCAGAGGAAGCACGACGACGCATTTAAAGTTCGAGTCTGCGAGTCCTAGAGCTTCTTCAGATGTTAATGCATGAATATAAGGTGAATTAGCGCTATTCTTGCATAAAATTATGCGTCTGATTCTGTATTTTGCGTTTCGTAATTTCTTTTTTTATTAAACAAATAGATTTCGTCATCTTTTCGTGCTGGTGCGATGTCATGTTATGGTTACACTTTAATAATGAAATTACCATGCGTCTTTTTCATTAAAATGCAAGGATGGGATCAAAAATATCACTTAAAAAGTATCATCATAGATTTAATATTCAATATCGACTTCATTAAAGTGAACTTGAAATAGCTTTGAAGTTTTAGAACATATTTACAAAATAAATGAAGATATGGACATTTCTCAGTTGATCAAGATATTGACTTTGATCTGAGAATTGATCTAAACTTTGATTCGACTATCTACATGATTTACACTCCTCAGTTTTATCCCAAAATATCGTAGTAAGTTTTCAAGTCAGCATTTTTTATGTACCATTTACTGGTATTGTCCAACAACATTGACCTGGCATTTGACCCTATAGTCGGTAAATTCCATAAACGTTGCTATCTATTTGTAAATCGATATGAATGTATATAACCAGTTGTTAAATGGTCTAAATTACAAATCCCTCTTAGCAGTCATTAAGGAATTTCACTTAAAAAATATAGACGTTCACTCATAGGTTCGAATCCTGGTTCAGCCACTTTTATATTTGTCTTTTCTTATTTTAAAATTGCCATTTCTCTCTTAACTCGTGCAAAACGTTTTGATTTTTGGTTGTGTATTCTATCTGTGTAGACTAAGTATTTTAATTTGTATTATGCACGTGTTGTCCTTTTTATTAATTAAAGATAATGTAATGGAATAAAAAATAAAATTGTATAAAAACCACTACTTAAAAGGTATCCTAAAAGCCAGATGTAATAAAACGATTTTAAATTAATTCTTGCAAGTAAATTTTAAAATGAAATAATAAAAAAATGCATGTCCTCATAACGTGGTGTTGGTAAGTTATCGAACCAGGGAACTTCAGATCAGTAGTCAAGCATTCATACCAATACACCACAACTCATTGACGTGTGAAGTTAACAATGATATCTATATATTCGTTAGATACCAGTGTTTATCACCCGACCTTTACGGAAATTTATGAAGTGCCAGGTCAATATTGTTGGACGATAATATTAGCCTTATACAATCAATTGTAGTCAACGAAAATATAACCAGCATCATTTTATCCTGATCCAGATTTTTACTTTGTGAACACGGACGGGTATAGGTTATGTTATTGCAGGAAGCTGTTTGTTTACGTGCAAGACATGGTTTTGTTTGTTTGTTTGTTTGTTTCATTTTACGCCTTTTCCCAACAGTATTTCAGTCATTTAGGCGGGTAGTTTCCTAACCATTGTTCCTGGAGAGTTACACCAGTACTAGACTACCTTCCTCCGCGCTAAACTACCAAAGCATCTCCCGGGGATCGAATCCACGCCAGAGATGTAACTGGATTAGAAGTCATCGACTATAACCACTCGATCGCGGAGGCAGTTCATGACATGGTGTCCTGACTCACACATATAAAATGTGCAGCAACAGCGCGTGGTTTCGTTATTTTATCTTTTAATGATTGCATTCTCCTCCGTTAATGTAAAACCGCGTGTGTAGTTTAATGGAAAAGTAATAATAAAATAACATGCAGCCATATACGTGAATAAGTTTATAGTATGTTTTAATTATTATACTGATTTGAATTATTGAGATTATAACGTATTTAAACTATTATTTAATATTATACATTTCATGCGTCGATAATCATTTATAAAAACTATTTATTTGACAAACAATTCCTTTCGTATAGAAAATAAGAATTTACATATTCTACTCTGACAAACAGCGCAAACTGGGCCTTAGTTGACAAAATGACTAATAAAAGCTAACTCAAATGAAAAGACTCAATGTTTTATTAGTTTGGAATCATTTCAATATATAAGGGCAAACTTTGCCAATTTTCGGAAAGAAAATAAAATATTTGTCAAGGCAACATCTCAGAACGAAAACTTTGTTAAAATCGTTCCTTAATTTTCATTCAATCAAAGCTAATATATTCATAAATCTTCATTGTTTTTATTCTTGCATAGTATTTAAGTTTCACTTTTTATTGCTACAGAGAGCATGAGAAATATGACTGAGGTTGAGAGTACTTCCGGTTTAGATAACTTAAAGGTGGTTACAGATGAGATCAACAAAAAGTGTGAGGATGGACTTTCAGACCTGTCTAAACGTTTGGAAAGAAAGACGAATGATTTGAGATCTTCTTCCACAGGTAAAACTGACAAGATTAGATATTACCTTAACAGTGTCGATGTGAACAAATTTAACAACTTAATAGGGTGACAAAATACATTATATTCTTTTTAAAAATATACATTATTCAAATACATGCATTGCCAAATTTGCAAAATGATTTACAAGTGTGCTTCTTTTATTTAATGCATGTGAATAATACTAGTATATAAACACAAGTTTAAGCGCTACCTAACATTTGTAGGGTTAGCGATGATTTCGCGCAGCTTGTGCCATCTTCTGTTCATGTAACGAAAAATTTGCGTATATTTTGCTTTTAATGCAGGTACTTTAGTATGATTTTTTTTCTTTCGTACTAAAATATTTATAAACCCCACAAACGAAGTTTAGGGTTGAACTAGGTTCCAGGGTTATAAACAAATTTTCTAAGCTGAAACTCAGATCTCAGGTATTTGATTGGCCACACAATGTTCACTGACTAATTAAAACACTGAGATTTGAGGCTGAACTCAGAAAGGAGTTTTATAACTTCAAGGCCAGTTCGTAAGTTTTTAAAGATCAAAGGAAAAGGCACATAAGTACCATTTTTTGAGTATGTCCGTCTGTGTGTCCAATTGAAAACTTTTGAACGAGGCAATCGATTTAATAATTTTTTTATTCACAGATGTAACATCATAAAAACAGGTCAAGTCCTCATTTTTTCTAAAGTTATAGCCCCTTTTATAACTCTTTAATAAGGCAATATATTTTGATAATTTTTCGTACACATACAAAACATCATATAATACAGGTTGAATTCAAATTTTGTTTCAGACCACTACTTTTTCACATACTTATGACATCTTCTTTGTCTCCTTCTTGCATTTGTCTCCATCTTCTTGCATTGGTCTCCATGTGTAAACTTTGTAATGAAGCCTTGGGTTGTTCTTATATTTGGTGACGCATTTTTAACTAAAATTGTTAGCCACTCATTGATGACCCATTTACAACAATAAAAAACATAATTTTCAGATGATAAGTCGTTAAATATTATATATGATTCACTTACACAATTTTTGTACAAGGGTATAACATCATAAAATCGTATGAATTTAGCTTCAAAGCATTTTTTCAATCAATGGTGGCGCTTTTTCGATTTCAGTTTTTATCATATGCAGTTTCTAGAAGATAACTCCTTAAGTTGAAAGCGGATTAATATTAAGTATTAAATAGGAACAACTTTTTTTATGAAATAGAAGTCCGGTTGAGATTGGCAACAGCCCAATTAATAAAAGGAAAAGCTGTGACTTCTTCCAAATTAAAAAAGTTATAAACAAAAGAACTTCACGGTTTGGTGGACAAAATTTTGCAATTTGAAAACAAATTTCTTTACCTTGAAATTAAACAATTTTAATGCATCCTTTATTTGACCTTGTTATCATTGCAGTAACAAGATGGTATATTGGAGATATCAATCAATCAATCACCTTCAGTGATTATGACTCTAATTAAAAGTAAGTAACTAATATAGGCTCACATTCCAAATTCTAACCTTATTTGGTATAAGGTGGGTGTACATGTATGAATCACCTTCAGTAATAGCTCTAGATTTGTTATTTTAGAAAGCATGAGAAACGTGTCAGTAGTTGTGGCAAATATAAAGAAAGACGTAGAGAAGAGCACTTCCGGTTTAGATGACCTAAAAGCAGTAACAGATGAAGTCAAGACCACTTGCAAGGATGGTCTTTCAGACGTGTCCAAAAGATTTGCGGCTTTGGAAAAGCAAGTGAAAGAGATGGATCAGGCAACGGAGAAACAATCACGTTAGTCTAAATTATTTTATCTGTATCATGTTGATTGTTCTGTTAAATTAATGAATAGTGTTTCCAAACTTAAAAATCAAATCAAAAACGCATATTTTAAACCATTCCATATTAAATAGCGAATAAATAAATATAAGTTTGAACAAATTCATTTTTTGCACAATTGCTATGAAAGATTAAGATTTATTTGAATCACACAGAGATCTTAATCATAAGGCCATCTGCTCTCCAAAGACTCAATATTTAGTTAAAGTCCTAATAAAGATTAACAATGTCTCCGCTGATTCTTTATTGTGAGATCTAGTAGTCTACTAAAGATCGGTGGTTCTACTCTAGTCCCGATCTTGAAATAACCGCAAGTCTATGTAGACTGGACACGGATGGGGAACGCCAACACTGAAAGCCAAACAATCCATTGGGCAAGAAAAAATATATAAGAACAATTATTACATGTACGGGAAAACTTTTAACGACTGCCACACGGCACAAACAAAACGGTTGTAAGCATAAAATATAAAGAAACAAGATCAATATGAAAGGGCGGCGTTCAGTGAACGCAACCCCCACACGACACAGCAACACAGGACCAGCGGCAGGGAGCCAAGGAAAATAGGACACACCGTTAGTCTATGCAGACACATATTACAGTTTATTACAAGACTTTAACGTAAGATGAAAGACATCTGTTTGGAATGGTGGCTATTTCAAAATTCAAATTATTGACTAAATCGACAGAACATAACTGAAAACTAAGAAAATTGTATAAAGATAAAGTAAGTAAACTAAGAGGGTTGAATTCGTAAAGCTCTGCTTTCTTCTTTCTTTATCAAAGTATTTTTAAATACTTCGAGATCTCGATTTATGCTCAAAGCACAGACCATCCCTTCTTACTGTGCCGTGTACTTGGATCAACATGAATTTTAAAATCAGTTAAAGATTAATTTATGTACTTTCTATCATATTTCATAAAGAGCGTATTATTCAATTATTATATTGATTTTGCCGTTCAGCTGTCCGTCTGTTGGTAAACATTAAGCTTGTCATGATTGTACAGGTCAAACTGCTAATGAGATTTTGATGAAACCTCTCATGATTGATCTGTACTAAGACTAGTTGTGCAATTTGCAAATACGTTCCGCTTCGCTGCTAACAAATGAACATCTTGTTCGGATTTCACAGGTCAAACTGCTGGCGGAATTAACAAGCCACTGTTACATCCTTAGAAAATACATTCCGGAGGAACAAAAATATCTTCTTGACTTTATTTTGTATCAATTGGTATCGTCGTCAGTATACTGATGGTCATTCTGTTCATTGTTTGGCCAAAGACCATCTAAAATCAGTTTGACTTCCTGTCAAACTTACAGGGAGGAACTAAATATGAGACAAACTTTCATTGGTCATTTTGAATTGCGAAATGTAATCTGGGAATCTTACGGGATATTCTAAATAAAATGTAAAGGATAGTTCTTGTCATTTTAACATAAAGTTTAAAGGATTGTTCTTCAATAGAATGTATACCGTAACGACAGTTCTTGCCATTATAAAACAAAATGTAACAGATAGTTCCCAGATAAAATGTGAACGATAGTTTTTTAACTTTTTAGTATTTTTTTTAGATATTTAAGTTTCGTTAACCTCACATCCTCCAATAAAACATTTTACACTGCGTTAAGATCTTTTTACATTTTATTTTACATTTGCGCTTACTAAATTCATTTTACAGAATTTCTTACTAGGGTATTAATTTTGTTCAAAATAACATATACCATTCACGATCCTGTAAGAAGTTTACTCTTGCTCATAAAATATCGAAAAACACACCCTAAAATACAAACATTTGGGAACACATACATCTTAGCGTTCCTTTTTTCAAGATTAATAACCCCTATTGAAATTTCTGTCAATTGTAATAAAACTATTTCATATAAGAAATGTTTATGACGATTTTATTTTTCGCATTTTCTGTGTTTTTCAGTATTTCACCCCGTAAGTGTTGCAATTCTGTGGATTTATTGTACCAACATAACGTTCTCATTTGTAAACATTATTTTCAAATAAAAAATGACAAGACTCCCAAACTTTAAAAAATTAATGTTTGTGAAACAAAGTTCTTTTAACAAAGTTTTACAATGTTTTATATTCTTATTATTATTATTAAAAGCTTTGTAAGTAGTTTGTTGATTTTATAGTATTCATTATCCTTTAATTTTTAATTGCAATATTTCATATGTGATTATTTAAAAGTAATAATACTGACAATATTACATATTATTACAAAATTTATAAAGTCAAACGTAAAAGCAAATTATTAGGAAACCTTAATAAATACTGTACTTTGAAGAGACACCAAAATGAATATTAATTATCTTAATTTTAGAAAATAGGTTTTTTTCTTAGCTACCAGAAAGTGTCAGTGTTATGCAAACCTTGCTAACATTTCCAGATACGTGTATCGAAATAACAAATGCAACTTCACCAGTTTTACTTCAGCCACGTATTTTTCTAAATATAATTCTTGTTTTTATTATGTTTGCCAACATAAAAACTATACATGTTTAATTGCCCCGTGATATCAAATAACAAATATATTTCTTGTTTTTATTATGTTTGCCAACATACAAACTATACATGTTTAATTGCCCCGTGATATCAAATAACAAATAGTATGCAAGTAAGACCGAATTCGTTTTTCATGTTAAGCTCGATTTTGATGAAATAGTAAATTTTTAAGATTTAAATAACACACTCAAATCTTTTTCACGGAGCTAACCAGTACAGGTGTCATATGTGGAAACATTTACTTGACAAGCACAATAGTTGTGTTGAGAGGCAGACAGCTAATCCACAAGGTTATCTACTGCTGATAAAGATAAACAATTTCAATGATTTATAAACAACTGAGCTGTCTTTTAAAATCACGTAAGTCCAAACTGTCATGAATTTTCACTTTGAAATTGCTATAAACCTTGTGTTGTTGCAAATGCATTTAGTTAAAAAAAGTATAATTTAACTTATTTCAGAGACGGTAGCATTTAATGTTATGGATGCAGTAAACTACACGGGCAGTGAAACCATGAAATTCTCAAATATTATACTGAATGAAGGCAACGCCTACAATATAGAGACAGGAATTTTCACCGCACCAATTGACGGGATATATCAGTTTAATGCGCATATTTGCGGCAATAGAAAACCGTCTGAAATAGAATACTTCATAAAAGTCGGCACAATTTCGATTGTTACCGGAGAATTCATTCTGCCAAGCAGAGTTACTCGTGATACAGATGAAAAATGTACGTCTTTTAGTGCAGTAGCCATGGTTCGGAAAGATGAAACTGTTAGAGTTGGTGGAATGCCTTTCACTTCCTTAGGACCGATAACAGGCAACGACTTGTCTTCTTTTTCTGGTGTACTGATTAACACTGTTTAATGAAGTAAAGTTGATACACAATGTATGGGAAATAAGAAATGACATTGAATATTGAGTAAATTTTAAAATCAGTAATTAAATTTGAACAACATTTCTTTTGATGTTTTAGCAAAAACAAAAAAATAAGAAAAAATAATCTGAGGGACATAAAGTCAAATGTGCAGACATTTCAGTGGGTGACAAAAAAACTGTACACAAACTTTTAAGTTAATTGAAAATATTTGTAAGTCATAAACGGTTCTTAAAGAAATTATTTTTGTAATTATCTCAATTGATATATATTGCTTTGTATATATATTTGTATATGAATTCTATAAATGTGTTACTTTTAATATACATGTATTATCTTTATGCAAAATATATTTTGATAATATGCATATTTGTAAATGGCCATGGACAATGCTCATATTGTTGATTTGCTACTAAACTTGAAACCAGAAATATAACGATGAGGTGATTGGTATTAGCGTATTTTTAACGTTGTAGGATTCTGTGTCTGAAAATTACAGGTTTAAATGTATATACACAATCCTAAAATAGTTTTATTTATAGGAATCCAGCAAATGATTTAGAATCATTCAACTGTTCATGTTTACATATTTTTACGAATACATGTAATACTGTCTTTGTTGCCACATGCTTGTTTGTAAGCAAAGTAGCTTTTTATCAAAATGTTGCACCACAATGATTTCTATTCTTCAAAATATAGAGCATATAAGTGAGAATAAAGTACTTAAATTTCCAAAGTAATAATTTTGTGTTTAATTTGTAAATGTCAAATTTAACCATTACACTGATTTACTGAAATGTTTCTACAATTTATATTCTATTATGAATATATAAGAGTAAAGACAATATGTTTCTACAGCTAAAGAAATTCGTTTACGCTAATAGCATTGAATTTCATTTAACCAGTTTATGCTAACTTGTAATAAATAGTTGTCTTCTGGGTTCAAAGAAGAGTTATTCATATTATTATCTAATTATTTAAAAACTTAAAGGTATTTTTCTCTATAGTATAGTTATATCAGACTGCATCATGTACGAACATGTATAAATATATACAGAGAAAGATATTTAGTTGTTTGCGCTCAAAACGCATATTCAGAATAATTCAAGGATTTGTGGTAACGTTAAGTAATATGCATTAATATTATTTGCTGTTATATGGTTGTTAGCAAAATACCATGACGATGATACCAAATACACAAAATAAATTATATTGATGAATATAAAAAATAAAGTAATAAAAAGACACATTCACAAATTGTATCGGACGATTCGCAAATATAACAAATTAGTGAAATTACAAATATTAACATTTTAGGAAGACATGTATTTTTGAATAATGTCAAACAGGTGTGATTTTGAAATAGATAAAACATCTATAATATAGTTCAGAGCACATGACCGCTAGTTTCTTAATTGAAACATATACTGAGTATCACTGTTCATCACACCACGAACCAGCGAAAGCGATATAGTGGGTGTCGAGGTCGGGGGGGGGGATGGAATGAACCATGTTTTTATATTCCATCTGTCACCACACTGCTGTATCAGTACGATGGTTTTGCTTTCGTTCAATAATAGCGGGATAAATGTGGGACACGCATTGCTGGGACATAAAGTGGAGATGATACCATTTTTCAATTGTGTCCGACTTTTTTTGTGTGCGGCAGTGATATAATAGCTTAGCATTTCATATATCTAACTATTGCCTTGAATTACGGTTTACTCCTTCATAAAAGATTTTAAGACATCTGTCAATAATTATATTTCATCAATAATTATCTACCAAGAAACAATATCTGATACATAAAAAAATAGTATGTGAGAAGTTAGCAGTGAACAGTGAGCTAAGCAAAAAGGCATTTCAATTTATATAGGGAAGGTAATGATCTGCTGTAATGCTCAGCTGATTTGGGCATCTAGCAGGGCATTACTAAATATAGTGTAAAAATGCTCTGCTGGAACGCTCAGTTGGCTAGGCAATCTAGCAGTGCATTACTAAATATAGTGTTAAAATGCTCTGCTGGAATGCTATGCTGGCTAGGCATTCTAGCAGAGCATTACTAAATATAGTGAACAAATGCTTTTCTGGAATGCTAAGCTGGCTAGGCAATCTAGCAGGGCATTACTAAATATAGTGTAGAAATGCTCTGCTTGAATGCTAAGCTGGCTAGGCTATCTAGCAGGGCATTGCTAAATATAGTGTAAAAATGCTTTTCTGGAATGCTAAGCTGGCTAGGCAATCTAGCAGGGCATTACTAAATATAGTGTTAAAATGCTCTGCTTGAATGCTAAGCTGGCTAGGCAATCTAGCAGGGAATTACTAAATATAGTGTAAAAATGCTCTGCTGGAATGCTAAGCTGGCTAGGCAATCAAGCAGAGCATTACTAAATATAGTGAACAAATGCTTTTCTGGAATGCTAAGCTGGCTAGGCAATCTAGCAGGACATTACTAAATATAGTGTACAAATGCTATTCTGGAATGCTAAGCTGGCTAGGCAATCTAGCAGGACATTACTAAATATAGTGTACAAATGCTATTCTGGAATGCTAAGCTGGCTAGGCAATCTAGCAAGGCATTACTAAATATAGAATAAAATTGCTCTGCTGGAATGCTAAGCTGGCTAAGCAATCTAGCAGGGCATTCCTAAATATAGTGCAAAAATGCTCTGCTGCAATGCTTAGCTGGCAGGGCAGTCTAGCAGAGCATTACTAAATATAGTGTAAAAATGCTCTGCTTGAATGCTAAGCTGGCTAGGCAATCTAGCAGGGCTTTACTAAATATAGTGTACAAATGCTCTGCTGGAATGCTAATCTGGCTAGGCAATCTAGCAGAGCATTACTAAATATAGTGAACAAATGCTTTTCTGGAATGCTAAGCTGGCTAGGCAATCTAGCAGGGCATTACTAAATATAGTGTAAAAATGCTCTGCTTGAATGCTAAGCTGGCTAGGCAATCTAGCAAAGCATTACTAAATATAGTGTAAAAATGCTCTCCTGGAATGCTAAGCTGGCTAGGCAATCTAGCAGGGCAGCATTACTAAATAAAGTGTTAAAATGCTCTGCAGGAATGCTCAGCTGGCTAGGCACTACAGCAGAGCATTCCTTAATATAGTGAAAAAATGCTCTGGTGGAATGCTCAGCTGGCTAGGCAATCTAGCAGAGCATTACTAGATATAGTGTAAAAATGCTCTGGTGGAATGCTCAGCTGGCTAGGCACTATAGCAGAGCATTCCTTTATATAGTGAAACAATGCTCTGGTGGAACGCTCAGCTGGCTAGGCAATCTAGCAGAGCATTACTAGATATAGTGTAAAAATGCTCTGGTGGAATGCTCAGCTGGCTAGGCACTATAGCAGAGCATTCCTTAATATAGTGAAAAAATGCTCTGGTGTAATGCTCAGCTTGCTAGGCAATCTAGCAGGGCATTACTAAATATGGTGTAAAAATGCTTTGGTGGAATGCTAAGCTGGCTAGGCAATCTATCAGGGCATTCCGAAATATAGTTAAAAAATGCTCTGGTGGAATGCTTAGTTGGCAGACTGATTCTGAGTTCCAGGATTTATTGTTGCCAAAGTTTTATTGACATTTTCGACTTATAGGCAATTCTGAGGCACTCGCAGACTTTCAAAATTTTCGGTGCCAATAGAAATAATGATATTTTTGACTTCTAAGGACCTTTAAGAGACTATTTCATTGTCCTGCGACTTTTTGAAAGACACTCGCAGACTTTCAGGAATTTTGGTGCCAATGCTGATATTGACAATTAAGACTTCTAGGGACCCTCAAGAGTCCATTTTGGTCGTCTGCGACTGATTCTTGGACACTCGCAGACTTTCAGGAATGGTTGGTGCCAATGGAAATAATCATATTTTTGACTTCAAGGGACCTTTAAGAGTCCATTTCATTGGCCTGCAGCGTATTGTTGGACACTCGCAGACTTTCAGGAAAGTTTGGTGCCAATAGAGATGATGGCAATTTTTACTTCTAGGGACCCGCCAGAGTCCATTTTTATGGTCTGTGACTGATTCTGGGACATTCGCAGACTTTCAGGAATCTCTGGTGCCAATGGAGATAATGACATTTTTGACTTCGAGCGACCCATTTCGAGTTCATTTCGCTGGTCTGCGACTGATTTTGGGACACTTGCAGACTTTCAGGAATTTTGATGCCAATGGAGATAATGACATTTCTGACTTTTAAGGAACCGCCAGAGTACATTTCTTGGGTCTGCGACTGATTCCTTGAGACTCGCAGACTTTCAGGATGTTTAGTGCCATTGCAGATCATGACTTTTTTACTTTTAAGGACCCCTTAGTCATAAGCAGAGCATTTTTACCCTAAAATGTCATTATCTGCATAAGCACCAAAAATTCCTGAAAGTCTGCAAGTGCCCAATAATCAGTCGCAGACCAACGAAATAGACTATGGATGGTCAAAAATGTCATAAATTGTAATTATCTCTATTGGCACCAACAATTCCTGAAAGTCTGTGACTGTCCAAGATTAAGTCGCAGACCAAAAAAAATGACCCTGCCCGTGGATGGTCCCTAGAAGTGAAAAAATGTCATTATCTGCCTTGACATCAAAAATTCCTGAAAGTCTGTGAGTGCCTCAGAATCAGTCGCAGACCAAACAAATGGATGCATAAAGGTCCCAATAAGTCAGAAATATCATTTTCTGCATTGACACCAAAATTCCTGAAAGTCTGCGAGTGACTCAGAATCAGTCACAGACCAACGAAATAGACACAGGAGGGTCCTTTTGAAGTAAAAATGTCATTATCTCCATTGGCACCGAAAATTTCTGAAAGTCTGCGAGTGTTCCAGAAACATTCGCAGACCAACGAAATGGACTCTGGATGGTCCTAAAAATTCACAAATGTCATTATCTGCATTAACACAAAAAATTCCTGAAAGTCTGCGATCGTCCCAGAATCAGTCGGAGACCAAAGAAATAGACACTGAAGGGTCCCGTAGAAGTAAAAAAATGTCATTATCTGCATTGGCACTAAATATTTTAGAAAGTCTACGAGTGCCAAATAATCAGTTGCAGACCAACGAAATTTATAATTTATTTAAGAATGTCCTGCTAGTTTGCCTAGACAGCTCAGCATTCCGGCAGAACATTTTTACACTAATTTTCAGAATGCTTTGCTGGATTGCCTAGCCAGCTCAGCATTTTTAACACTATATTTAGGAATGCCCTGCTAGATTGCTTAGCTAGCTGAGCATACCAGCAGAGCATTTTTCGCACTATATTTTGGAACGCTCTGCTAGATTGCTTAGCCAGCTGAGCTTGCCAGCAGAGCATTATTACACTATATTTAGGAATGCTCTGCTGAATTGCCTAGCCAGCTGAGCATTTTAACGCTATATTTAGGAATGCCCTTCTAGATTGCCTAGCCAGCTGAGAAATTCAGCAGAGTATTTTACACTATATTTTGGAATGTCCCGCTAGATTGCCTATCCAGCTGAGCATAACCGCTAAGCATTCTTACACTATATTTAGGAATGCCCTGCTAGATTGCCTAGCCAGCTGAGCATACCAGCAGAGCATGTTTACACTATATTTTGGAATGCCCCGCTAGATTGCTTACCAAGCTGAGCATAACAGCAGAGCATTTTTACACTATATTTTGGAATGTCCCGATAGATTGTTAGCCTGCTGAGCATAACAGCAGAGCATTTTTACACTATATTTTGGAA